ATCATAGTTGATGATGACAATAATTTCATGTTCACTCAGCACCAAAAAAATATTCAGTGAGCAATATCTCTTAGGAACAGTTCATTTTTGAGTTGTCTGCACAACGCTCGTTTTTTTTCGTCCTTTTCAGAGATAAAGTTTGTAACATGCATAAGATAGAACTTTTCTGCAGGACTGGAATTTGCTAATAGACGAGATAGCGTCCGCACTAAGGAAGGTCCGAGGCTGTCTACTGGGCACAACCTCGGAGCTCTTAGCTTGACATTGCTTTGTCGTCGTATACATGATGTAGTTAGTTCTAAGTCACTATTTCGCTTGGTCAGCAGCGAAAAGGTGCTTCCGCAATTGAAAATTCCCATAGATGGGCAGGACTTCTATGTTGAACTCAGGACATTGTCAGATTGTTGTTCATGTCGTCCCATAGGTTTCAATGATGTTAGAGGCTTTACGTGTTCTCCTGGCCGAAATTTTGATGTCAATTTCGCCGATTTTGACCTATTGTGGCCGTACTTTTACGTATTTTTGAAGTACCTATAATGTGCCTTCACCTTACTTGCTTGGCCACTCTATACCTTCTTCATAAAAAAAGCATGCGACATAGGCGGGAAGGGTTCAAAGGATTAATGTTCACGAACAAGCATGTGCTAATTAACACACGAGTACTGCAGGCTCCTCTCTTGCTTCACATTCCGAGCAACTGTTTTTTTCCATTATCAAAAATCCTAAGTATAAGTAAAAAATAAGTGTACTATGTTTTCTGTGATGCCATTTCGGCGACACTGCATTTTATTACCCCAATGTGCATGGTAATGACGAAAATTGGAAAAAAGTCGAAATACTTGATTTCGCTGAGCAAGCGTTTTAGGAACAGATTGTTACACAGTCTCACAACATAGTCAGCTTTCTATGCCCTTGAAATTTTGGTCGCCTTCCCAGAGCCTCGTTTCACAATCTGTTCTGTTACATAAATTTTTTTGAAATTTTCAATCTTAGTAAATGGATAGCATGGTAGCAGTGATCTCATCCACTGCTCGGGCAGCCCAACCCACCCATATTTGGGATACTTGGATGGCCAGTCTTCGCTGGTTGTGCGAGCCCCAACATGATTTCCATTCTCTGGTGATTTACTGGTTAAGCCATTGTGGTTCCCTAGAATCCCGAAGACAGCCTGGCCAAAGTCTGCCCTAGGTCTTCACCACCGCACGCAGTAGTTGCTCTTGTGGATAAGTGGGACATTTGTCACCATGCGACTAGTTTGAGACCAGGACGGTGGTGGACCCTGGCATTGGTTTACTCTTAACTGTGCTTCCTGATGGAACCACTGGAGTCTCTCTCAGCTTGGGAGACCCTACTGAGTGGTTGAATCCCCTCGCTGTAGATCGCAATTTGACATCTAGGACACCTCCCAGCCACGATGAGGCGGTAAGCCGTTGGGAGAATGCAACCTACCCATGCGCTAGTTAAGCGCAAAACCAGGCTCACCAAGCCTCTCACTTCAGTCTGATCGTGAAATTGGTACCTAATTTGTCTAGAGGAAACTTACTACATCTAGTCCATGTTGGAACATCCGACCACGACTATCTGAGTACTAGGGGGAGGATCGACTCGAACAGCTTTCAGGGATATTCTCGACGAAAACGGAAAAATCTTCGCACAGCAGCCGAATTCACACACATATATTCGAAGAACTTCGTGGATAATGGATGTGAGGAAACAAATCGAATGCAAAAAGTGCTAGGACTCGCGAGGTAGAAGTGAATTCTTTGAAATAAATAAAAATAAATAAACAACAAAAGTCTGAAATGACATTAAATTCGCTGTTCTTTAAAGTTGAAAGGTGTAATGATTTTTAGGTAAGCGCGCACTGAAATAAATGTGCGCATTCGAATCGTCCTGCACCTATGGCATTCACATTCTGGCTAATGCTCCGTGTTTCCACTACTAGCACCATAGACCTACAATGCATCTTGCTCGCCATTTTCTCTAAAATACTTCTCATTTTGCTCCATGATGCTTCGCACTTACAGATTTTTCCCTTTTTCCTTCTTTTTTTGAAAACTGACTTTGCTTAAATGCGCGGATCACCTCCAACGCAACACTCGGAGAAGTAAGATGTCAACATTAAGCACTCCTAACTTTTGTATTCATTCACTTAGATACCTGGGTATTTTATGATGTCTTTAAAAATGTACAGATACTAGCTTGTCTACTTGAGTAGTATTCTGACTGTTGGCCAACGTTTCGTTTTGTCTTAGTCCTACGGGGTCATGCTGTGGCGTCCGTTGGTCGTCAATGCAGTCATTAATCCCTGGCATACGTTTATTTCTAATCGGCTTTCTATTATGAACGTTTGATTCTTCAGTTTGGGGGACATTTGCGAAAGAAAGAATGTCTTGTTACACGTCATTATTTCAAAACCAGGAACAACTTCTTTACGGTGACTAACGGCTGAGCGACTTCCAATAAATTATGTCCGAAAATTACATAACCTTGGATGCCCCAAAGTACTGAAAGAGGTTATTTTCCATCGTTTTTGGTCGGTCTGGACGAATAATTGCAGGAAATCTGAGCTGTCACCGGAATCGTTGTCCTCCTCAAGGAATCAAGTGCAAATGATTTCTTATATTAAATACTTGAAACGCTCTTAAACGGTTTTCAAAACGAACGTGGAGTTTTCATTTAAAATCTGAATGCTTTCTCTTCTTCTCTTGTTTCGAAAGAGATTGTAATGGTTACAAAACTAAATGTCTAGTTCATCACCTAGGTGGTCCGCATCCAGGTGTAGTATGCGCCAAAGTACTACTTTCATTCAATTCGTTTCCTTGCGACGCTTTTCAGGACTATGAGTAAACATTTCTTTAGCAATTTGTGCTACCTCCAGGTCACTAAAACTGGAAGGTGGGTCGCTACTTTAACCACTAGTTACAGAGTAGCTATGAGTTCGGTATGACAATTGTTGATAGTCTTTGAGTCAAAATTGAGGGGTCTACCTTTAATGGTGCCGCACCGCGTCCGTATTTGAATTGCAGAGCAAGACGTCCAGCCACGTTTTAGGGCTTTTAAGTATTAAACAAGATAAGCTATCTGAAAGAAATATTTTGCTGATACATCTTGTAACAGCTCCCAGGATCGACTTTCTAGTAACCTCGGCATTGGAATATGAAAAAACTTGCACCGGAGACTAAAACACCAGTGTGAAAACTTCTTGAGGCTTTTTGGATGAATGCCAAAAACCCTACAATGAATAGCATGGATGAATGCCCTGAGGTCATACGCGACCTGACCCCGCATGTTCGCATCAATTTCTGATGTGGGATGGTGCAGTCATCAACCATATGCGACTATAATCAGCTGTTCTAAACTTCCTCATTGGAACTCACGTAAAAAGCGGTGAGTTTCTCGAGAAGCTGTTCAACATGAAATTACCATAGAGCTTTCTGTCATTTTGTAAGTGTTATTGAAGCGTTTGGCCTAGTAGATTGTATATCAGTATACCCTTCCAGGCTCTGAAGAAGGCGATACTGCCGAAACGTCAGCTAGCGTTGTATTGTATTGTGTTTCTCTATGGAAGTAAATGTATGCTGTTTAACAACCTCCCGACTGCTGAGGAAGAAAACGACGCATTCATATCTGAAAAAAGCAAACATGTATTTTATTCCCATGGATTAATCAACATGCATTGGAAAATGCCTGTATATCGTAATAAAAAATAATAAAGCTCTCGGCGTTGATCAATCCCTAAGGGATGCGATATGCATTTCACTTCATTAAGCATCGTTTTCAGGTGATTAAATGCATACTTGGCCTTTACAATGATGACTTCCGGTGGCCTACCGATGTATCAAGCCAGTGCTGCTATCCATCCAGACAAGTCTGTACGAAACGAGCTCTTATCGCATAAGCGTTGAAGCGCTCAACCCAGCATGCTCGCTTCTCAGGATGTCTCAATATACTCACTTGATTTGAATTGGAGTTAAGAATTTCAAAACGGCCTTACACAAGAATCTTTACGACACAGCACGTAAAGGCGTTGATCAATCCCTGAGGGATGCACCATGCATTCGACTTCATTAGGTATCGTTAGAGATGATAGAATGCATATCTGGCCTTTACAATGATTCGCGGTGGCCTACCGATGTGTCGAGCCAGTACTACTATCTTTCCCGACAAGTCTGGTACTAAATTGTCGACCTCGGAGGGATGGAAGGTTTGGTGGGCCATGGGCGCGAGAATTGATTCCATGTGTGTCGCAATGGTGCTTCCAACCACTGCGCCCTATATTAGACATAGCACATACACGGTGTTATAGGCGTATGAGTACTGAATGAAAATGTACGACCTGTAAAATTGGCGCAGCTCTGAATAAATCAAATCCAGAAACTTCTTGTTACTTAATACTTGACACTTAAATGGCCCGTCATCACTAGTTGTGCGGATCCCAGCATAATCACCATTTTTCGGAGATTCGCTGGTTAAGCCATTGTGGTTTCCTGGAATCCCGAGGACAGTCTGGCCAGTCTGCTCCAGGTCGTCACCACGACAGGCACCACTTGTGGATCAGAGGGAGCCTTACTACCACGCGATTCTAATACCAAGACGGTAGTAGAACCTGGTATTGGTTTACTCTTAGCTAGGTTTCTCGATGGAAACGCCGGACTCCTCAGCTTAGGAGACCCTGCCGGGGGGACGGATCCCCCCGCTTTACATCGCAGTCCGACACCCAAGAACACCTCCCAGTCACAATGAGGCGGTAAACCGTTGGGAGGACCTTCCTGTTAACCACATTATAAGTATCATACGACCATGTAAACAATCTAACTAGTGCAGAACACTTCATTTAAAGAATAACTTAAATCAGAGCAATAAACCTCCGAACAAAGCAGTTCACATGCCAGCCACTCGTTGCAAATGATGCTTCTCTTATTAACAATAATGTACCATGAATATAACATTCAATCAACAACTAAACCTTAAAATTGGTTCCTCAACAAAGATAATACCTAAGAATTCCTCTTCTTGCCAAGCTCCTCATATTTCTTTTTGCTTTTGGAGTAAGCAAGATAGGATCCGAGAGTCGTAGGCGCAATTAGAATGAAGAACACAACCCAGTAGAGGTATTTAGGAGCAAACTTGCGTTCATATTCTTTCAAGCGGTAGATGTATCCTAAACTAATATAATACAGAAAGTTGAAAACAGAAAACGGCACAAAAGATTCTCAGTCTAATATGAACCTTCCCCCGGAGCATTAGTGTATCCTATATGAACTTCCCCACTTTCCTCCGATGTGTAAGTGATTTGCGCAGAAGTATAGTTGAACACTCCGAAATGGCGTGGGTGAATCTTAAGTGCACAAAACAAGCTGCGCTCAAAAACAAAAACAAAAGCGAAGTGAAAATAGTTAAAGAAACATACAACAACTGAGTGAGTCGCATTTGCCCCAGGGTTGATTCTCTCGAAGCGAACATTGAGAAGACCCTTCATAATATCAAACGACTGCGTGGGGAATGAATGACGATCATCGAGAGTAACCTATATAAGTTAAATGTGAACGCAAACAAAGAACTACTGGGAACTGTGTAAAGAAAGAGACCTGGAGCTGTTTCAGGTTACCAAAGAAAGAGGACCTAATAGCAGCCTAAGTTTCACGAGCATTTAACATTGATAAAAAATAAACCTTTACTTCCCAATTAGATTTGTACATCTCACACAATGAATGGATAGAAACCTTTAAAGCAGCCTTGTCGCCTGTATTGTAGAGACTGTACTCCAGCACGAGGTCCATGTTCTCAACAGCATACATCGACTGCGGGAACTTGCTAGCAACAATGAAAGCATCCTATAAAGTGGAAATAGAAAGTAATGCATGTAATTCCACGGAGTTTCTAACTGTAATAAACGTAAAACTTATGATTTTGAAACCGACCGTCATTAAACCTCGGTAGTAAATAATCAACATGTTTATATTGTTGAGTTTACACGCGGTTGGTAGAGATGTTTAAATGTTGTGTTTAATGTTTTAAATGCGTTTAAATAAACATCTCTTCCAAACTCGTGTAAGCTCAACAATATAAACACATGTAAAGCTTATGGTAAATCAATAACCCACCAAGAATATGACAATTAAAAAGCCAATTTAAAAAATTATCAACCTGACGAAAAAAAAAGGCAAAAATACTCTATGAAGCAGACAGCTTATTGAAGATCTAATTTAACAGAAGTATAGGTTGAAGGTTAAGATGTAGTCGCCCCGGAACCAATAAAAAGACTAAAGGACAAAGCTCTCGGCGTTGATCAGTCCCTGCGAGATGAGCCATGCATTCGATTTGATTAAGCATCATTGGAGGTAACTGAATGCATATCTGGCCTTTACAATCTGGACTTGCGGCGGCCTAACGATGCATTGAGTCAGTGCTGCTATCCTTTCAGACAAGTCTAGTACCAAACGGCTAACTCCGGAGGGATGGAGAGCTTGGGGAGTCTAGCGCTCGGCAACCAACTAAATACCAGATATCTGATGCAAGGTTCCTCATGCCACTGTGCCACGCGCTAAACGCGGTACACGGAACCGAAACACCATCGTAAACCTTCGGTATGCTCGTTTTGACATCGCTAAACATCTTAACGTTTTTATGGATTGCTCAACAAATTGTATGACGAACTGCTTAATATAGCTAGCGTTAAGCTAAAACAAAGAATGGTGACAAGCTTGTGTTCATAAGCTTAGCAAAATACAGGCTATTCTTAAATCTTTGAAAGTTTCCTGAAAAAAGCAGCTGTGAAACTGAAAGAAAAGAAGAAATGCAAAACGAAAAAACAACGCACTCTTGTTTGGGTTGAAGCATCTTCGGATAACACGGAAACTCCAAACATCAGTATTGTCGTGAAAATCATCATCTGAAACAGAAACAGTGCAAAGTTCATACTAACACAGCAGGATTACGCCTGAGACAACTGTTTAAAAAGCCAACAAGACAAAGGACTGCGACAAATTATAGAAATATGGAATTTGCAAGGGTCAACAACACTTGAAAATTTCTGGAAAGGTGACAATAAGAAAAGTGGTGAGTCGTAGTGGAAATTTTCGGCAACATTAACATAATATTGTAACAAAAAAACTAAACAGGATGCCAAAAAATAGCAATATAATCATTAAGAGGTCAACACTAAAGCCACCATGGACATCCTTTTGGATAGCGCTAGCAACAAAACGACATTGCTAACATGCAGTTCGGCAATAGTACGTCGTACAAAGAATTCCCTGTTTGCCAATGATTTACGGTGTTTTCGCAATGGGTCAGACATTGTACTCGTTCCACAATCATTCTCAATGACACGTCACGTTTTGGATACGTGACACGTGGATTTTCGGATTCTTTGTTCTAGTGGATGTTTGCTATTCGTCATTTTCTGTCAGTTTGTCGTGGTGTTAACGTTTCTCCATCCTCTGCTATTTTTGCCAGTGTTTCCTATATCTTAGTAGGAGGATTTTCTTCCTCATTTTTCAATCGCTTTTTGTTTTTGGTATTGTTTGGAATGATTCTGGATCAGATTTGAGTCTGTGCTTTCCCCAGCGGTTCCTTGTGCTCCTGATTTTTAATTTGCTCTGAGCTACTGTACAGTATCCATGTCTTTAATCCTCTGCTAGTTTTTCGCTGACTCGGCTTCCATTTCGCCATGTGGCGGTTTTTGTTCTTATTGGAAGCCGTGACGGCAGAGAATACGGCTTCATCCCTTACCGCTGCCGATGTTCTTGCTCAAAGTATCGACGGATCTTCAGCGCATGAATTTCGTGGTTACTATAAGAGAGAACACTCACTTGTTCGACCTTATCAAGGTACGGTTATCATGTGTATTTTCATTTTAAATGTTTCCATTCCTCCCAACGGTTTACCGCATCATGGTGGCTAGGAGGTGTTCTTGGGTGTCGCGCTACGTTGTGTAGGGGAGACTTCTTCCTCAGGAGGGTCTCCTAAGCTGGAGGAGTGCCGCTTTTCCATCAGGAAACTCAGCAAACAGTAAACCAATACCAGGTTGCACCACCGTCCTGGTACCAAACTGGTCACATGGTGGCAAATCTTCGTCTGATCCACAAGGGCGACGAGTGCTTGTGGTGGTAATGACCTGGGGCAGACTTGGGTCTGGCCAACTCCAGGGAACCACAGTGGCTAAACCAGCAAAACACCGGAATAATGGAGATTATGCTGGAGCCTGCACAATCAGTGAGGACGGGTTATTCAAGTATCCAAGTATATTTTAATTAAGTGTTATTTACGCACATGCAATTGTTTGTACCGCAATTCACACTAAATTTTAACTGTAGGGTTCAGGTACGGGGATGGCGATTCCTTTCTGGAGCATCCAGGGTAATGCTGTTGCCACTAATGAACACATCCAGTTAACAGCTGACCAGCAAAGTCAGAACGGCGCCATCTGGAATATTCAGGTTAGGTAATTGTTGGGCTAATGGTTAATCAGGGGCTTTGGTCGTTAGGATATACTGTATTTCATTCATTTTATCGTGAGCCGCAGTACTGAAAAAGATTAGTAACGCATTAGGGAGTTCTGCGACTGCTCACGGGTAGTACATGTGGAAATACCTTTCGCAAACGGTGTAGAACAGTACATGGTCAATTTTTAGCGGTGTCCACTATTCAAGGTCGTATTTTATAAGGAGGTCTTTTAAAACCGGGTACTTTTTGAAGAACAATTTTTCTATAAGATAAATAAGGTAAGATTTGGACCGGTTTCCTCCACCCTATGGACACGAACTGCAGGCCGTTGCGTCGTTTCCTTGAATGAGACAACAAAATGCTGATGTTCTTTACGCATACTGTAATTTAAACAATTTGGTCTTCACCGTAACATGATTTTAATGTAGAACCTCTTTGCCAGGGAATCGCATGTGAGTGAAATTAATTTTAGCCTGTCTGGTCACGTGACTGGGAACTCCAGGTATCCATCAGAATCTCTGGTTCTACCGGTTAGTTTACAGCTTTCTGGTTCTTCTTCTTCTTAATATTTATCGTATTTCCTCCGTTTAGGTGACTTGTATGGAGATGGACTGGCCATATGGTACGTCTCAGAACCAAATAAAATGGGACCTGTATTTGGCGGAAAAGACTATTTCCGCGGACTCGGTGTCTTTCTAGATACATACAGCAACCACAATGGTCCACATACGGTTAGCCTGAGCTTTAATATTCTATTGTTATATCCGACTATTATACCTGCTTTCATATCGGGACGTCATCTTCGAAACTCTTATGGGAGATGTTTAAATGAATACTCGGATGCCGTAATAGTTACAATCAGTATTGAGGTTTTGTTGATGCAAAACAAGTAGTCGAATACCTTCTACTTCAACTCTATACTTGGGTACTTGGATGGCCCGTCTTCACCGGTTGTGTGGGTCGCAGCGTAATTTCCACTGCTTCGGAGTTTTGCTTGTTTATCCATTGTGGATCATGAAGTCTTGAGGTCAGCCTGGCCAAAGTCTGCACCAGGTCGTCATCACCACAGGAAGTCGCCACTCTTGTGGATGAGAGCGAGATTTGCCACCATGCGACTAATTTGGTACCAGGGCGGTGGTGTATCCTGGTACTGGTTTGCTCTTAGATGGGCTTCCTGATGGAAACGTCGGACTTCTCAGCTTGGGAGACCTTGCTGGGAGGATAAATCCTGCTGTACATCATCCACTGTACCCGACATCCAGGAACGCCTCCCAGCCACTATGGGGCGGTAAACCATTGGGAGGACTTAAACTCTATAGCAACGAAGAATCCTGAGATCTGTTCTCTAAGCATACACTTTGGTTATTTGGGTGTGTCACTGCTGATCTGTTGTGAACGTTCTACACCGCCCCATCAGATGGACGTGGTTTGGTTTTTCTCGTATGAGCGTAGTGTTTCTAAACGTAGCTGAGGGTAAACCAATACCAACACCAGGATCCGCCACCGTTCTGGTGTCAAAGTCGCATGGTAGCAAATCTTCCTCCGATCAAGAAGGGCTACGGCTGCCTGTCGTGGTGAAGACCTGGGGCAAACTTTGGCCAGGCTCTCCTCGGGATTCCAGGGAGCCACAATGACTTAACTAGCAAATCTCCAAAAAGTGGTGATTTTGCTGGGGTCCGCACAATTAGTGAGAACAGGCCGTCCAACTATCAAGTAAGTAAGATAACTTGACAGTGCTCATTGTCTGTGTTATCCACTAAGATGGTCAACCAATGTTCGACCACAACAACAACTGTAACCACAATCTCTTATATGTTTTTAAGGAAATTCTTTGGTAGTATACTTTTGAACAAATCACTTTTATTCGTTTCTAATTATTCCACTTTTGATGTGCTGAGTGAGTATCTTGTTCCCTGATAGGTGGTTTTACATATGGTATCTGTATTAGTATTTGAAGTTTATTTATGGAAATTTACGTAATTCTGTACAACTAGGTGTTCCGTGTAGCATATTAACACATAGTTTTGTACAATTTCCGTCACGTATTGGGTGTGACTGGAACTGATAGTTACCCAGTTTATCGTAGACTTTTCTAGAGGCGCGTGTAGCACAGTGGTTAGAGGCGCAGTGCAATACACATGGGATCGATCCGCGGTCCCCACGCTCGCCAAGCTTTTCATCCCTTCGAGATCGACACTTTGCTACCAGACTTGTCTGAGAGGATAGCAGCAGTGGCTCTATATATATAGGTAGACCACCGCGAGTCATTATAAAGGCCAAATACGCATTCAGTCGCATGGATGGCACATCCCTCAGAAATTGGTCAACGCCGAGAGCTTTATCCTTTTTTCATCGATAAATTTTTTATATTATTTGTTGTCCTCTTCAGCACGGTCATCCATACATCTCAGCAATGGTTTCTGATGGCTCTCTACACTATGACCATGATAAGGATGGCACTCATACTCAACTAGGTGGCGAGAACACAGGTACCGTAATCATATTGATTGTGATCATGAAATTTAAAGTAGCTTGCAAGGTTCCCATATGATTTTTTGTCATTGTGGCATAAAAAAAGAAGTTTAGGATGCGAAGTGAAGTTGCGAAACAAAGATCATGAGACACAGCTGCTTGTGAGATATGTTGGAGACACACTCTCTGTGAGCCTTCTGTACTTTTGGTTTTAAATTCGCCAATTGGAATAAAGTTTTATTTCCTTGTCATATTTCTTACTATTATCACCTTATTACTTGGTAATATTGTTCGACCTGTTGAACATTTTACACTACATGTTGCTATTAATTACAAGGCACTTCAGGTTTTCACTGATATTTCTGGAAAATATGAATGGAAATTGTGTCTTAGCGTGAACAACGTGCAGCTTCCAACTGGATATTACTTCGGCATTAGTGCAGCAACTGGAGACTTATCAGGTGGGTCTAGGTGTGCACCGCAAGACTTTTTGAATATGGTATTTAAGTCAACATTGATTACTGATTTGGGTGGATCGAGCTTTGTTCTCACTCAGAATGTCATAGATGCTGAAAAGCTGCTTGTCAGCATCTACATATCTTTAGCATAGTCGTTTCTTTTTGCTTCACATTTAGCGGTAGACTAGGAGTTGTTCTCCTTTTCAAAATTAAGGCATTTAAAGCACTCAGTTTAGATGCTCACAGTGTTGTTTCGGTAAAAATGTTTGAACAGGATTTTGCTCATGTCGATAAAGCTGATGAAGTGAGTATTTCCCATATGCTTTCGTTGTTAAACATGATATGTTTTAGACTTTTGTGCATCTTTTTTATTCGGTTTATCAAATTTCCTGTATTACAGACAAATCGTCGGAATATTGTTCCTCGAGCGCAGTTCCAAGCTGCACCTCGTGATCATGTTGACGATCCTCGGCCCTCGAAACTTGGATGGTTCGGCACTCTTCTTCTAATCATAGTTGGTTGTGTAGTTCTGGTGGGAGGTTTGGGATTTGGCGTAATATTCTTCCAGAAAAGGAGTGAGCGTCAAAGAAAGAGATTTTATTGATTCGTTTCTAAGTAATTTGTTCCAGTTTCTTTATAGTTGTTTATCATCCATTACATCTGGTTTTCTTTACGTGTTCAAAGTTTTTCTTCCGATACGGTCATTTTGCTGTGTTATTTCGAGAACCGTTGTCTGTCTAGGCGTTATGTTTATAAAATCATATTTGTCCCCCTTCGCACTATCTCTGTAGGAGTTTCTGCAAAGAGGGAATGGCAGGCATTGATGACTCATTAAGTTTTAATAGTTGTTGTTAACGGAGTGGTTTTTGTTTCGATGCTTGTTTCCTGAATACGAGAGAATGGTGTCTTGAAAGAGCCGCGTTTAAATTGCAAGAATGTAATTGGAGAGTTTCTGTCATCACGATATCCTCAAACATACGTCTCTAAATCAGTTAGGGTATCAGGTTGCCTTCAATTGTTTTTTTTTTCAATTGTCTTTTTTTCTTACTACCGCATGTTAATGAAGTTTTTAGAAGTTTACTAAGTATTTGTTGTTTTCGTTTTTTTCTGTTTTGTGCTTGTTTCTGGTAGCCATATATCTCATAAGTCTAAGCAGCTCGTGGCACTTCAGATTTTTGGCTCAATTTCGAATTGTTACTAATCGCCTTAGAAACCTAGTTTCTTGGAATATTTATCGAATAATTATAAATGGGAGCAGTTTCCAGGATCGGCTTCCTGTTAACTTCGGCATTGGATTACAAACAAATATAAATGCATAAATGTAAATGAATAAATAAACGTGAGTGTAGTAGTAAATGTATAAGTATCTAAATGGAAGCTTCTAGCTGCTTCCATTAGAGCTAAAGCCGTTGGTGGTTGTTTGTGTAAATGATGACGGAAATAAATTTTTTGCGATCAGACATTTATCCCTTCAAAGTATAGATATTAAATTTTATGACAATGAGGTTGCCATCGACTTTAGTTTCCAGGAAGAGTGAAATAAAGCCTTGGGTACAGATTGAAATGTGGACGGTTTTTTTATTAGCCACATTTGCTCTGCAATTGAGTTGGTGGGTTTTGAACCCCTTCAAGTTTTAAGTCCTTTATGTAGAGTAATATAACATAATATAATATATGTAGTCATTTTACTTGATTTTGTCAATTATAACCCGATATCAAACGCAGTTTCGAATTGTCACACTTTGACAAAGATATGAGGGGAGCTTCATATGGCCGTTTCACCATAACCATGGTGTTAAATTATTAAGAGAAGTGTACGACGTGTCCTGCGCTTAATGCTTTCGCCACAAAACTGGTATTTAGATAACTAGCGAAAATTTCTCGACCAGTGTAGTACGCCGGGAGTTCAGAATTTTAAAGAGTTATCGATGTGATTTATCTCTCTCACGTTAGTCTCACAGAGGATCGTTCCAAAGTTAAATATGTTTAGAATGCTTACGAAAAACTGGTAAAGGGTTTTTTTTTGACCTGTCATCATATCTACTGGCGTATCTCAGTACAGCACTCGATTTGTTTTCCTCGCATCCATCGTCCACAACGGTCTTCGAACAATGTTAACTTTTTATTTGCTGCCTGCTACAATTTCTCACGGCAGGGTGAACTAGCTGAGAGACAAGCGAAACGAAGGACCTGCATGGTGTGGTGGTGAACGCATTAACCCCCGGAAAGGGTAATAGCGCGTTAGTTCCCTACCGCAGACAGCTGCTGTCAGGAGTTTTGCAAATATCTCAGCATCATTATGGTCTTCGAACATTCCGCATATTCTCTCGACGATAGCTTTGGAATGTCGCCTTCCTTTCATGAATGTCGTAGAATACTGGTTGAGTCTTGGAGATAGCCTAGCTAAGGCGTCCCCGTTGAAATTGAAATTAACGGAAAACAACCACATCGATGCTGAGATGTTCGCAAAAACTTGGCTGCCGGGCCATATTGAATCAAAAAATTATAGTAGGCAGGAAATAAAAGGTTAATATTAAGGGAAAACATTGGAATTCGCTCGAACTAACATCTTGATTCTTGATCGACAGTGTCACTAACCACTGCGCTATCTTTCATGACGAAATTTAGATTTTCAAAATGTTTAACGAAGAAGGGGAGTAAACGATTCTTTGGAAAACAATTCGTGTAATCAGCTAGACGAAGCCTCGCTCGTTCATTTGCTTTCATGTCCGAGTTACGGATATTTAAGCCACAAAATGAAGTATACGTAATGAGCTACAAATATCTTTCTCGTACTAGAAAGTTGCAGTTAGTTAGCAAAATGCACTATGAGATGAGAGATGTTGGTTTAAGGTTGAAAACGGCCAATATTTTCGCATTCTATGACTCCTATATGGATCACGTCACCGTTTGAGTGTTAACTGTTTTTGTTTTGCTGAAAACTATCAAGAGGAAACATATAAAAGTGTTCAATAGCAATAGATGCTCATAATTTTTTGCACCGATGTGGCCTATGTGTACGGTAGTTACATGAACATCAGTAGCTTGGCTCACTGTCTATAGCTGGCTCGTATGAATCTTTTATGTGTATTAGTCATTCATTTACTAACCATGTCCTCAGTCCAATATTCACCGCCTCAGTGGATTTCGAGAAGGATTTCCATGACATTGTTTAGCACTTTCAATTTGTCTAAGTATTGCTAGTTCTTGTCTTTTACTTTTACTATTGGCTTAAACCTGTGAAAAAAAGCATGAACTGGCAGTTCTTGCAAACCCATTCACATGAGAGCGACGAGGGCGACGAAGGAAACGGAATGATTCATGGACAGCCTATTGTGATAGAACAATCATCCATAGTAATAATGGGCTGATTCTGTTCTTTGGGCTATATCTATCTTAGAGATCTCGGACAAAGTGCATGTTGCTGAGTGAACACTGTTTGTGAAGGCTGCTTGGGCAAACTATCTTTTCATCGTGTTAGACGCCGTTCAAGGTCACCTCGATTGACCGTGGACACGCAGTGCCGCGCTCACTACGACAACTTTCCGTCCCCATGACTGAGTAAGTTAATCCACGTTTTCAAACCTACGATACTCTTTTTCATTCACAAACTACTCCAAACTACTCGCTTTATATTGAGCACGTCCTTGTCATTATGTTACCTGTACACGTATCTGTGTTTGGATATATTCGAAGTACAGTTGATGAACGAAAAAAAGGACATAAAACTGCGAAGAGAAAGGATTGCAATGGTCATCGCAATTTAGTGTACTGTAGTGTTCACCGTTACGGTATATTCGAATAGTTTAATCCAGAGAATGTATTCTTATTCTCAGTAAAAGAATGACGTCGTCAGTTAGTGCAATAATCGAGTATATTTATCCGACAAGAGACGTACGCAGCGCGGTGGTTGCTGGCCCCTTGCAATACACATGGGATCGATTCTTGGACCCAAACCCACCACGCCCACCATCCCTCCGGGGTCGAAAAATTTATATCACACTTCACTGGGACGATAGCAGCACTGGCTCGATGCATCGGTAGGACACTGCGATTCATTGTAAAGGCCAGATATGATGCATTCAGTTACCTCCAAACAATGCTTGATGAAGTCGAATGCATAGCACATCCTTCAGGGATTGGTGAACGCCAAAAAATTTATCCTCTATTTTATTTATCCGACGAAAATTTTGTGCAAATGCCAGCTCTTTTTAAGGACGAGGTTCTTGCTTAGCGCATCTTCGACGGGTAGATGACGTTGTGGTGAAGAGTACGAATATATGTCTGAGAAACGAACCAAAGCCGACAAGCGAACTGTAGCATGCAGTTCATATTTAGTAGCTGATTCACACACGGAAACGAACAAAAATCAACGGCATTAGTTATCTAGCAACTAAGAGGGACGTGATATCACCTCACCAAACATAGTTTAGGATTCCGATATCACGTTTTGTGCACGGCATTTCTATATGACATAGGGAACTTGTTTCCTAAAAAAAATTTTGTGTGTATGTTGACTTCAGTGCAATTTATTCAGATCCGTATGCAGATGCAATCGTTGGTTAGTTAGCGTAAAGAGCACATGTGAGAATGAGAAGGTTCGTTGACGATTTAGTTAGTTTTTGGCTTAATACAACTAAAATTGTTATACATAGTTTGAAATTCTGTATCGAAAAGCCGTACAGTGCATAACGCCGATGGATTTCAATGATACTGCAAAGAAACAACATCGGTGGGTCCTACATTTCCTGGTATAATAGCATCTCTTGTCAGCAGCTGACCGTTTTTTCTTAATTGAAATGAACCGTCCGGAATGATATAAAAGTCGATGAGTAGGCATAAGGTCAGCATTCAAGTTCTTGCTTCCGTGGCACTGAACTCTTAGAAATGTAACTGTTTCGTATTTCTTTCCCTATAAAAGCTTCACATGCACGTTCGTTAGTTTTTTCTTCCTGACAAGAATTTCAGCTGGCTGCGATTATTCGCAATGGTTTCTTACAGTTACTTTTTGAAATACTGTTTGTTCACTTTTGTGTTAAAATTTACCTTAAATTTAAAAATCTAAAACTCGATGCGAATTTTTAAGGGAGGATGTCTTGCAGTGCATCATTGGCCGACTACTGCTGAGACACGCCACCCACATAGTAACTCTTCTAATTTGAGAAATTCGGCTTTATTTAAATAATTTCCAGATCACTAATTTGTTCTGAAGTTTGAACAATATGCCTCTTAGGTCACAGGTACACCTTGGGCAGAGATCGAGTTTGGTCGGACGGAGAAAGGCAAACCGTATCTCGTTAATCCACCAGACACAAAGTTTGGCTTGAATATTACACACCAGGTTCACCTAATCTCTATTCGTTTTGTAAAAATCTCCAATAGACTGATCAGTTTTTAGGGTGATTATGTAGGTCTCGCAAGCAGTTGTACTTCGAGAGTTGGCGTCGATTTTATGCGTCTTGATAAAGAGCGTGAGACCTTGAGAGTTCTTAATTTAAAACGAATAAGAAAGGTATAAACGTTTTTTAGGTGCTGGAAAAACAGCTGACGAGTACATTAATTCGATGGCCAAGTCGGCTTCACCGGAAGAATTGCGCATAATGAGGAGTCAACCAACGGAAGCAATGAAAATGACGATATTTTATCGCTATTGGGTAGGATCATCTTCTTGGTTGACTTTCAAATAGATGGTGATAACCAACAGCAAACTTTACCATTTATGATGTAATCAATGGGAGATCTACCGTAGTAGTTAGCACGATGTAGATAGATATCGGTGTACGATCGGGAGAAAGTCGATATTTTCTTTTAGATGCAAGCTAAAACTAACTGCATTTAACTTGTCATTTTCTCTTATTTAGCCGACTAAGAGAGCGAAACCATTAACGCCTCTAAAATCCGCGTAGGAGAGACTGTTTGATAATATTCTACTCATCGTTTCAGTGTTTGAAAGAGGCCATACTTAAGGCGACCGGCGATGGTATCTTCGACGATCTCAGTAGAATCAATTTCAAAGTGAACATGAATGACCGATACAGACCAGGTGAATGCTAAGAACGTTAGCAAATATACCATGCTTCTCATATGCATAGCACTCGCATAATAATAGTTTTCGTATTATGTGCATACTCATAGCTTGTTTCTCTCATTTTTCACTTTTTTCGAATCGTAGTGGACTTATCGATGGGCTAGTTATGCTATATGGGTAAGCTATTTTATTTCTTTGACGGTATCACGTGATGGTGCTTGAAGCATGCGAGAAAAAGGAAGGGATAAATGCATCGATTACAAACACTATGAAAATTTGGCACCAACAACAAATAAGTTATTTGTGCGGAAGCGTCTACTAAGAGTATTGCACCGCTATTGGTGAATTAATTCTTTTTTGAAGATTTTATTAAAAAGCAGTGTTAAAAAAGAGTAGCAGCACTGACTACTACGGTAGTTGAGACCACCACCATAGATGATGATTGCGAGGAAAGGAAGCGAATGGCAAATGTGATGGAGTCCACACAACTCGTGAAGACGGACCATGAAAGTATCCAAGTATCCAAAAATATCAGTGAATTCAACTCAGCAGCAGAAATAATGTAGATGTTTCGCAAAGTTAAGCCTCTCTATCGAGTTTTCGTTGGTGTCACTGCTGAGAAGCCACATATGAAACGATTTTTCTTTTCATTCGATAGATTATGCTTAAGAGATACTTTACCTTATGTTACACCCATTCCAAATAATTATTGGAACCCGATGATCTTTCCTAGAAGATAAGTCGCTGTGCCGTAGGCTTTTAACAAAAATGTTGCGAAAACGAAATGCCCACAAAATTTGCTACTTAAGATGGAACGAGAATCGGCAATTCACACACTGAATACCACTGTCATTGAAAGTTGCTTCTCTTGGTGAACTTAAGAAAGATCATAAAAGCAGCGTTAAGGAAGAGGTGGACGATGTGAAAGAGATTACAAAGTTTTCAGTGATAAACTAGTCCACCTCCAAATAGCGAATTTATTGAAGTGAAGACTTGAACACTACCGCATTTACGAAATTCACGTGAGCTACTTTTCTCTCTGGTTTAGAAGAAAGTTTGAAGACAACTTGCACGTCCTTTCCAAAATTTTAGTGGATCTTAAAACTTTCTTCAAATCCACTTTTAGTCTACATATTTGTTTGCTCTTCAAGGCAATAGTGAGTGAAGCGTGTAATTTTTGATAACTCAAAGCTAATGATTATGAGAAGGAAAGTCAGCAGAATATGCCTGTTGTCGTAGAATTACATAATAAAGTAGCAGAATTGTCTGACTTTTATCATCGAATTGTGCTCAACCTAAATGGCGTGAACATCAACATTTGTACAAATGTAAATGTTAGGGAGGGCTTTGTTGTATTTAACGCGCTTTGTTCGAGTGGCGTCAGCCAAATTCTGAACCTAAATGGCGTAAACACCAACATTTGTAAACATATCTGTTGACAGGAGTTCATATTACAACATTTTTTCAAACTAATCTAGGCAGAGGTAGACCTTCTCCTTACAGATTTAAATCGTGGCAGAACAAAAAGTACCTAGAAGACTCATCTGTCATCCTTAGCCACAGTTTCCTTGAGAAAGACTTCTTGGTGCGGAGAAGGTGCAATAATTCACGAAGTAACAATACTGTTTTTTCACAGCCAGCCGATGTGCTGCCATGTATTTCATGTTATGGTTGTAGATTGCTACGTAAATAACTACAAGTATTTTCGCTATATTGTGATCTAAAACTTAAATGCTGTGTTTTAGTTAGTTCAGGAAGAAATACTCGTTGAGTTGGCCAATGTATCAAATGCTAAGTTCAGTGAAATATAGGCTCGATAGATGTAGCAACTTATAACAGTTTGTTTAATATATTATGCCAGATTTCCTACAATTTACCACTGGGTACTTTTTGTTCTGCCACGATTTAAATCTGAAACTCAGATAATTAAACCTCAAATAAAATATTACAACAGTAACAACTGAAAGCAAATGTCGCTCCAGTAGACGCGTGCTTTCCTATAAAGTGCTTTTACGGTTGTGCAAATGTTGAAGCAATTGAAGCAAATAGACATTACAAGCACTTTTCAACCAACTGCAACATAAGAATGTGATCCAGCAGTAATGATGCATTCTGCAGGTGATTTTTGGAAAGTGACCCTGTTGAACAATGTGCGAATAACACAGAGAGCATGGAGTAGTATTAACAAATAGAACTTATTCTTAACGTGGTAGAGAATAGTCCTTATGAATTGTTCGTCTGACGATCACTCATAAGAAATTCTATGAAATATTGCAAAAATTTGTTTCTGATTTAGTATATGCCCATAAAATAAGTTCTGTATGGCCATGTCAACGAAGTGATCCAATTTTATGAATCTATGGGATATTATACGAAGGCTTCATGACTGTGTTTGATGTTATTTAAACTCTGGATGGTGAAAAATTACATCGCTACCGATTTTTATTTGTTTGATTTTAAACTGCAGTCAACAATATACGTCTTTCTGGGCGATATAATAAATTTTTTTTGAGGTTGTCGTACAAGTAGCTGTATATTATTTGCGGTGAGTGGTCCTGCACGAGGCAATACTGAAGTGCTATTAGTAGTACTAGTAGGTAGCATAAGTTCTGGTTTTCTTTTCTTGTTTACAACGGATGCTCCTTTCGGTAGTGTAGTAGTAAGCGCTTACAAGATTCAACTGCAAAATTTCAGTCGCTGCTTTTTGATACTGACCCACCAACTATTCTCTTCAAAAAGCGATCCTCTAAATACAAACCATAAAAATGTTCATTTATCACACATTTCACCTTTTTTGCGAACATTTCGTTCCGTTTGCTTCGTAGTGCGGCGCGGAGTAGTTCCATTTCGATGCCTCGTACTTCTTGGCTGTCCTCTGGTTGAGCGCATATCTCGTGAAACCGTTTCCGTCTTATGAACTTCGGCACAACTCGATTTTGAATGCAGCGGCGGGAAAGGTGGATCTGTTGTCTAACTAAGACGATCTTTTGTCTTAGTGATAGCGCTTCCTTCGCAAGTCGAAAGTGTTTTGCTGGTATATCTTGTAATAGTTCCCAGGATCGACTTTCTACTAACCTCCGCATTTGATTACAAATTCGTCGTTTTCTTTCTCAGCAGGCACGAGGTTGTTAAACAGCATACATTTAGTATTATATAATAACACACATACAACGCAACCGTAGCTGAAGTTTCGGCAGAATCGCCTTCTTCAGAGCCACTTTTTTCACCAGTCTTTCACCGAGGAAGAAGAGCCCCTCAGAGTCGCATATGGTTGACGACTCGTCGTCGACGACGACTACTGATAAAGAAAACGACGAATTTATAATCCAGTGCCGTGGTTAATAGAAAGTCGATCCTGGGAGCTACTTTTTAAGTTGTTGATTTTTGTGATTACGTCTTTAGAAGACATTGTGTCGTCATTTCGCTTGTTCATTTGTGTGCGCCCCGAAGTATTAATGCTTTTAATGCTGGTAGTGCACTTTTTAGAGCTAAAAGTACCAATCGTTATCGTGAAGGAGATCCAAGTATTGCTAGTTTCCCTTACAAAGTTTCTTGCATGGGTTGGGAATCTGTTTTTTGAAGCTGATGTGCTAGCCCTTTCAAGGATTAAACGTTAGTTGAGCAGTTGACCAAGAGTAGAACAACATTTTGTGACAATATTACGACCAACGTAAGTGGGTTAATTGAAGACGGTGCCGGTAGAATACTATTTCTTTAGTTGGAACACATAGATGTTCAGTGGTGATTATTAAAGGAGGAGTAGTCCATCTAGTTTTTCTTAGACCAACGACTTCTTACGGTTCATAGAGTAGTCACGGAACTAAGACAAAATCCGTACCCTTGTGAATCCGATTTCGTTGTTAGAACAAATAACGCGTCTAAACTTTTGATCATATGATTGTTTATGCTGTATATGTGGAAATGATAAAATCTTTGCTCATTGCCACATTCGGCATTTTATCGGTAACTATTCTCCACGTAGATTTTCTACTATTTGCTTTTTATTCCTCCAGGTAATCTCGGCTATAGAACGAGTACGTCGTTATAAACCAAATTCAGGTTGTTTTCTGACCTCTACAACTGTCTTGGTGGACGGCAAGCTACAGGATCAATGGATTTTCGAAGAGACATTCGCTGATGGAAACCATGCTGCAGCCGTATGTAGAGAGGTGAGTCTTCACACGTTTAAGTCATTCATAGGTTATTTTTTCTGCAAAATTTCGTCGTCTGATTAATGTTTAAAGAAGTTTTTAATTGCCATGAACACATCTCCTACTTAACGCTTTTATTTACTGTCTTTTTCTTTTTAATGGCAGAGTATGTTGCGAAATATAACTTGTGTATAATGCTGAGGTATTTGCAAAACTCTGGACCGCAGGTGTATGCGGTGGGGAACGAACGCGCTCTGTTGTCCTTACCGGGGAGCAGCGCACTTCACCACCACACCATCCGGCTCCTTCGTTCTGCCTGTCTCTCAGCTAGTTCTATCGATCTTTTTGCCATCAGCAATCACCCGTCAACGGAATTGATCTGGAGAGCCCAAATCGGCATTGAACCCAGTTAAGCCGAGGCTTAGTTATAATCACAATCTTAACCCTTTTATACCCTTTAACCACATACCCTGTCATTAAAAAGAGAAAGGCAGTAAATAGAAGGGTTAAGATTGTGATTATAACTAAATCTCAGCTTAACTGGGCTTAATGCCGATTTGGGCTTCCCAGATCAATCCCGTTGACGGGTGTTTGCTCATGGCAAAAGATCGATAGAGCTAGCTGAGAGACAGGCAGAACGAAGGACCCGGATGGTGTGGTGGTGAAGTGCGCTGCTCCCCGGTAAGGACAACAGAGCGCGTTCGTTCCCCACCGCAAGCACTTGTGGTTCGGAGTTTTGCAAATATCTCAGCATTTTTTTCGACTCTGAGGATCGACTCGGATCACCGGCTCTGAGGAAGACGAAGACGTCGAAACGTTAGCCGAAAATAAATATATTTATCAACCTCGTGTAAGCTTATCAAGAAAGAATACATATCTCAGCATTATATACTTATCCTACTATTGGAATCGATTGGAATGGGACTATATCTCTTAATTTTTCTTTAAAAATATAATGTTCAGATTTGAGACTGCTGTTCATTAGTGAAACAGTACTTCTAAGAATAGCTAACGTATATGAAATGAAAGAAATCTTTGTTTAGGCATCTATTTATTAAAATATTATTTTTCTTTTCTATGACTGCTCACCAATACGTAGTCTTAACAAACAGATCACATCTTCCATGTCAATTCGGCGAATAGTCAGCAATTCAATAACTGGGAGTCGCATGGGAAGTGCTTAGGAGTCGTGTCCAACAAGAAAGTTCCACGTTTATTTCAGGAGAAACTAGAAGGGTATCCTTGAATATATCTAGCTTACACGGCATAGTTCTTTAAGCTCTATTTGTTACAATTTCTTACGACAACAGTACAAATAAGTGCCTAATTTCCTTAATCGTGCTGGATGGCTTGACATATTAGTGTAGAGTAGTAAGAGTACGGAGGTCTAGGAAGATTTTGGGTACGATCTCTGCTTACAGTGTGCACCCATTGGCATCTGAATTTCCCACTGAAGTCTTAACATGCGGTGTAGAAAGGTAAAGCAAGACTTCGATGACCTCCCCTAAACCGAGGATGCACTTTATAATGTCAAGCAAGGGCTGTTTCTCAGAACCTGCGATAGCTGAGGAGTCGCTTAGTTGGTTAACTAAGACGAGTTTTACTGGTAGCTCTAAATAAGCAAACGTTTGAATTTGAAAACTATGAAATAATTCCCAGCTTGGCAATTTTTAATTGTTTTACCCTGATATCAAACTAGAATGAAAAGCCCTAGACTCTAGACACTATAGATGGACACATTCTAGGGAGAACGTTACACTTGCTGCAGGCAGTTATAATCGGCGTCAATAAATGAATAGAACAGCAGTTTCTCTCCGAAACTAGTCAAGACTACTTTCATGAGTTTCATGCAGTAAAGTGCGTAATGAAAGTTGATAGGCACCTTCCTTATAAACATTATTACTGGTGACGAGGAAGGAAATATTCGCTTTCAAAACCGAATTAAGAATGTTAGTTTAAAAACTCAGTAGTTGTTTAAGTTGCTTAAAAAAGATCCCAGCGACTTGGAATAGATATGTTCTGTCTTGCGATACATACAATTTCACATGTATGCCAGAAGCTGTGAATGAACGGCTTCTACTCAGATCATCATCTATCGAATGCGAAGTCGGCCTTTTGAAGAGATCGAATGCGAGGGAAGTGGGGACTTTTTTTGCTTGAACTCACATTTTTGATAGGTGTGTGCGTGTTAGGCTTAGCCTAGTGCAGACCAACGGGTAAACAAATCAGCAACCACGGTCAGCTAACAAACAATAGTCCATCGTCTGGTCTCGGCATAAACACACGATTATCACCAAACCACTAACGAATTATATGAACTGGCAGCTTTATGGTAAACATTCTGGCGGTCCAAGGAAATCCCACTTGGTTGTTGCAGAAGTTTTTTTGCTTTTGTACATTAAATACCTATATTTTTACTCAGTTACTTAACAAAAACTAAAATTGGCACAATCTACCAGTTTTTGCCTACAAAATGTACGTTTTCTTAATCCGCCATGATAAAAATTTTCTAGTGCTGGAATTCGTGACCCTTTTGAACGCATTTGTAGAGGTGAGTTCGTTGTTGAATTTCTAGCAAGTAGTCGCTGAGCTGAAAGAAAAGTCGCATTTGCTTCTATGTGGTCTTATGAATATTCCGCAAGAGACGTCAAGTTTCATACATGAGCTGTTCATGACTAGAAGTTTCTCAGCGTCTATTGTGCGACGAATTGAGCGTTTTAGCCTAACAGAATGGATTGTTTTCAGCTCGTCAGCACCAACTGTAGACGTTGTAGTTTTTTAGTGCTTTTTGTTCATTTCAGCACATCATTTTTGTACTGTTGCCACCAGGATTCCAAAGGTTATAGTGGATAAATCTATCTGCTGAACTTGAATCGGCATTTTACTGATATCAGTATCGGTTCAAGAACCATTTTAGGACTTCATTTCTCTTTAACTCTACGCTGAACGCTGCAGACTGTTGCGCAGGCTCTTGTTTTTTGTCGCGTAACAAGATACAATCTAGAAAGGATTAGTTTTATGCTAATGAAGAAGCGCAGAACACCACAAAAGTTTTTATGGCAATCACTGTATTATCCAAAAATTTTAGTTTAGGCGGTATCCGTTCAGCGAATGCATTATCGGTCTTCCATTTTATTTAAGATGTGTCTAACTTATTCCTATTCATAATTCTTCCGTAATCTTTCGAGCCTTTGCGCATGGATCTGCTTTAGTAAATATTTTTATTTGCTCATGATTAATCATAAAAGGTTTTTTCCAAGCTTCATCTTGAAGGCCTTTATCTCCATCAGGAGAGTTTGAAACCAATGTTGCACCGTGCGCTAAAGTTAATAATATGACCAAGAAAAAACGTTGCGTCCAGCTTCCCCGGCTGTACATCTATTTTTGTTTTTATGCAAAAACCCTTTTTCTATTTACACTCAGTAGTCTAGGAACAATACAGATTAATATAAAATGGGAAGAGTTGGCATGAAGCGTGGAGCCAGATTTATGCCTCAAAGTAGGTACAACACTAATACGAAGGCCCAAAACTTATTTTTAAAAGTAAACTGCCAGAAAAGGAACAATTTTTAAGCTTGAGAATAAGGAGAGGCAATCCGTAAATCATATGTAAGTACGTCTCAGAAAACACGACGTGGATCAGTTGCATACCTTTATTACACAGTCCCCTGTTGTTATTTGTTTGCTTTCCCGAATTCTGACAAAATTCAAACATTCTATTGTGCAGATCGATTCAATTTGTTTCACTGAGCAGTGTTTATACACATGATGATTCATTTTTGCTGAGCTCTGAGCTTTTTTTTCAAGAAAGCAGTACCTCGATGCTGCATGTTCAAGAAGGATCCGGAGGCTAAGATATTCTTTTCAAAGGTGAGGCATGTCCGCTCAATACCGCTCTACACTTTTTCATTTTAAGTAAATGTTTAGATATCGTTGGAAAGTTTGCTGGAACACGCTACTATTCTGAATCCTCTTCCCGACAATGCATCCTCTGCCTATGAGGAATTCATCAAAAGACCAAGAAAAGCATTCTAATGCTTCCACAATACTTGACTTGTGTTCGTTAACATTTCAAGTGTAAGTGCTTGGAGATTATGGTAGCTTTTGCGTTATTGATGTGATATATTTCAATGCAGTGAGATCGAGTGGATTAGCGGTGGTTGCTTTAACGAGTTGTTGGGTGTTTTACTATTGAAAACGTTCAATTTCGCCTTTTTAAGTGACGTATTCACGACAGTGTTATGTTACTGTATTCCAATGAAGTAAACTCCTAGTTCTGTTCTGGTTGCTTCACAACGTTTTTGTAGGTAGTTTCTCGTTGTGTCACTCATATTTATGTCAATAAACGGCGACTTTAGCGACATCAAAAAAGCACAGAAGCACACGGTGGTCAGTTTTTTGTTGTTTGCCTTCGCGTCAGCGCAATGACCGCTGGACACCGTGGAGTGCTACGCCGACGGCTGTTCTCCGCCCAGTGGATTTTCACTCACCGAAGTCTCATTCGTTCATTCGTTGGCCAGTCTCGGATTAGTCACAGACATCCATATCTTTTATAGAAATTCTGCTTATAATTTCAATTACTACGGCAAATTCGTTAATACTCATGCCTAAGCATATCTACTCCTTCACTTAAGTGTAGGGGTCCTCGGCCGATCTTTTAAGGGCGGACATGATGGTTTTGTTCAAAAAAAGTAGCCGTCGTTTGCACGACAAAGCAAATACATCATAGCAGACCACGCAAGCGGTGTTCACCTTTGGACACTGGAATAAGTGAAGCGTTGGGATTGCCAGTACTGTTTATCTTCGAAGTGAAATATTTTTGTTTCGTGATTATTCAATGATTTCTCCCTTCGTAAGTGCTGAAGTCATTCCCTTACGGTGAATTTACTAACTACTGTACACAGTTATTTTTTAGACGATCTCTGTGGAAAGATTAACAGAAATGGTCACTGGGGCTCTTTTGTATCTGAGTTAAAATCGCAGCAAAAAACCGGTGTTTGACACTAGAATTGCGCAAAATGTTTAGATGAATCATCGGAGATTATAAGGTATTTCTCTAACTGATATGTCATAAGTACCTTTAATGACCTATTACACAAGTAAAGCTCTTTAATGACTCCTTAATCTGTTTAAAATTTGTTGCTAATGAGAGCATTTCCACAGCTCAGTAAATGTTCTTGCCTCTTGTTTATATTGCTTTCAGCTGAACACAAATGGCATGATTTGTGTTTAAATAACTCAACATCCTGTCCACTCTTTGTAGCCAATCTTTTGTATTTGCACTAATGAGTCAAGGTCACTCTGCGCCTCACAAATGTGATCCTCTCCAGCTCCAGTTTCTGTTTGTGCTCCGCTGCAGTCGCACTTGTCTTTTGTCAACGTTTTTATGAATAAATATATATTCACACAAGATTAATTTGCGCACGAATACGGTTTCATTCTCAACCATTAGCAAATGTTGAACATGAAGGTAGTTGTGGATTGCAAGAATGCTGGTATGGTTGGGATTGATCTCATGTGCTAGTGTGCTATACGCAACAGCGCCGTTCAAATTCGAGCTCAACGATCACGTACCTTTGGTATGAAATTGTTTGTTCCTTAAATATGCTCAGTGGCTTCGATAAGCTATAAAAATAATTAGATGTTAATCGGATGTTGGTCTATAATAATTTAAAACATCGAAGATATTATGGACTACTTAAATATTCCAACACAACACTTACAGCAGTTCGACCGTTCTGTACCTGAATATGAAACAGTTCTAACTCCAAGGGATTTTGAACTGGGTCAAGAGCTCGTTGAGAAATTACGGTACATGTCTAATGGTATGGAAGACTCTGACGCCATGTATGAGAAGAATCTCTTCGAGGGAGACATTGCGAATAAAAACGCAAGTTTTGTTGATTCCCAATATTTTTTAGCCACTTTAAATACCCATATAACAATTTTGAGTTTCGGACATTCCAGAGAACAGTGGTGATCCCACGAACAGTTAATGTATACTTTAAAGCGGTTTGACTGCCTATCCATGTGTAATGAATTTCTCTACCAGTCATCATCGCTCAATAGAGATTTTAGCTCACGACAACTACCATAGAAATGTTTATAACCGGTGGCATTGGTCAAGTTAATGGTAACTGGTATAATGCCATCAAAAATCGACATCAATTGTGGCCAGACGGTCGAATTCCCTACACAATTAGCAGTCAGTACAGCAGTTACAGGTAAAAGTTTTTGCCTAGTAGTTTATATTGAATGCCTTCAATGGCTCAAATTTTTGAGGGCACTGGCTATAGGTGTCCTGCTACACTAGTACGGTCATTGGTTCGATCCCTTCTTGCCTAAGAGAGCTCTCCATCTCATCGACATCAGCAAACCAGTTTCAATATGAAATAAAAGAAAGATTTATAGCGCTATAATGTAATTTTAACTAATTCGTACTCGCATGTCAACTAAGCAGTAATTCGTATATGAAATTTAAAAAGGAACAAGAAAGTTAACTTTTTTATTTATGATATGAAGTACAACCTTCATCTTAGCTAAGTTCAATGCCGACTTATGCTCCCCAGATCAATCCAGTTAGTGGGCAACTGATAATAGCACCGATTGAGTAGAAGCAATGCTAACAGAAATTCAAATCAGGGGCTTCAGCTGGGGTGGTGGATAGCAAATGAGCCTCGATAAGAGTAATAGTATGTTCAAAGCCTACCTGAGATTTCGAATTTTGCTCTTATCTCATTGGAGAATTTTTATACAATATGTCCTTTATTTTTTGTTGTTTGTTCTTCATTTTTCAAAAACTCGAGGAAAATTAATTTAAAAGGTGACGTTTACGTTTACTCTCATCTTATTTTTTAACCAGTCTTTCCATCCCCTCGAGGTCGGCACAGTGATACTAGGCTTCTCTAAGAGGACAAAAACACTGACTCGACTCCTCATCGGGTCATTACCAGTAATTTATAGGTTGATTATACATTTACTCGTTTCTGTGATGCTTGATGAAGGTGAATACATGCGCATCACTGAGATTGATCACCCTCGAGCGCATTTGCTCTTCTTATGCCCTCCATCTTTATAATGAAGGTTTTAGGAGGGTTTGCTATCGAGCATCTCAATGGACAGGTTTTTGACTATAAGAGATGAGAAACGTCTTCGAATTATCTTTTACGGTATCACGTTTTTTCTATCAACTAAGGCGCGGCAAAAACGATCCTTTCAGTCGTTCGTTAATCGCAGCATCGATGCAGGAATACTCGACTCACACATGTGTTCATTGGGCACCAAAGAAAAGCAGTGATGTTAACTACGTGTACATTTTCCCGGATAGAGGATGCTACTCTATGGTGGGAAAAATCGGTAGGCCGTCTTAACCATTAATTTTCCGAAGTTCTTCATCAAGATCACCCGAAATTTTTTCCTTTTTTACCTTGTTTGGCCTTCATTTCCGTAATTCTCACAAAGAAGTCGTGATTTAGCGTTTTTCAAATGAATTAGGAATTAAGACACTAAAAATTAAAAGAGTTAGTTAAAAGGATCACATTTTAATAGAAAATAATAGAAGGAATGTTGGAGAATATGCTTCTTCGCAAAAGGTTTATTGATTGTCGACAAATGAAGCCCGAGAATTTTTGCGTACATCCTTCGAAAGGGTTACGCTCATAATTTCATGAGATGCTCAGCCACCTAGTCAATCCATTTATAAAATTTCTTGGGCGATGAATCCCAAAAGGCTTCCGATAAAGATAAATTAGGGTTTCGGCCTCTACAAACGTTACAACTGCCCTGTGATATCGCAGCTTTGAGGGGTTGTTTGACTTGTGACGACCCAAGCTATTGAGCGGTACTATCTTACAACAAACTGCTAATTGTGCTATTTTTATCTGTATTACTAGTTTTAAACAAGTTAAGGACGCATTGTTTTAGAACAAGCTAGTTTCCATTAGATCCAGTAGAATTCGCCGAATCAAACGAATTGGAGCTCCTCAATTTTTAGGCACATGTGAGGGAACCGCAAATATTATTCACTTAATCATACTTGAACACTTGACGCTTGGATACTTGGGCGGCCTGTCCTCACTAGTTGCGCGGGCCCTAGCATATTCTCCATTTTCCAGAGTTTTGCTGGTTTAGCCACTGAGATTTCTCGGAATCCTGAGGTAAGCCTGACCAAAGTCTGCCCTAACCCATCATTACCACAGGCAGTCGCCGCCATTGCGGATCAGAGGAAAATTTGCACCATGCGACTAGTTTTGTATCAGGAAAGCAGTGAATCCTGATATTGGTTTACTCTTAGCAAGGCTTCCTTATGGAAACGCCTTACTCCTTTTCAGCTTGGAGACCTTACCGGAGGGATGAATGTCTCCGTTGTACATCGCAGTCCTGCACCCAGGAACACCTTCCAGCCAAGACGAAACGGTAAACCGTTGGGAGGATTCACACATTCCCAGGATCGACTTTCTATTAACCTCGGCATTGGAATATGAATGTGTCGTTTTCTTGTTCAGCAATCGCGAGGTTTTTAAACAGCATGCATTTACTTCCATAAAAAACACAATACAATACAACGCTAGCTGACGTTTCGGCAGTATCGCCTTCTTCAG